TATCCTTAATTTCACATGCTAACAAAATAATGCTTAGGATCATCCAATGCAGATTAGAGCCGTACATGGAAAAAGAGATGCCAGATGTCCAAGCTGGTTTTAGAAAAGACTAAGGAACATAAGACATTATTGCCGATGCATGCTGGATAATTGAGAAAGACAAAGAATATTAAAAAGAAGTCACTATGTGCTTCATTGATTATAGAAAGGCCTTTGTGTTGATCACATCAAGCTGTGGAAAGTGCTCATAAAAATGGGAATCCCAGAACATCTCTTTTGTCCTCATGAGAAACTTATATACAGGTCAGGAAGCCACAGTGCAGACAGAACATGGTGAAGCAGACCTGACTCCAGGTTGGCAAAGGAGTGCAACAAGGCCGTATACTCTTCCCTTATTTATTCCATCTATATGCTGAATATATAATAAGGGAAGCTAGATTGGAAGAAGATTAATGTGGTTTTAAAACTGGAGGAAGACACATCAATAACCAGCACTATGCTGATGACACTACCCTGATAGCCAAAAATGCAAACAATTTGCAAGCCTTAGTAATAAAAGTCAAGGAGCACAGTGAAAAATGGGACTAAAATGAACTATAAATATAAAGAAAGCCAAACTAATGACAACAGGTAGAACAACCAGCCTTAGAATTAACAATGAAGATATCAAAGTGGTGGATAGCTTCTGCCTTTTGGGATTAACCATCAACAGTAAAGGAACAAACAGTCAAGAAATATATCACAGACTAGCACTTGGTAGAGCATCCATGACGGCCTTGAAAAAGATATTCAAATGCCGTGATGTGTCTATATCTACAAAGATCAGAATTGTGCAAGCCATGGTATTCCCTGTGATACTATACGGAAGTGAAAGTTGGACTTTGAAGAGGCAAACTAGGAGGAATATTGACACTTTTGAACTTTGGTGTTGTAGAACACTCCTGAGAATACCATGGACAACCAAGAAAACAAAGAAATGGATCATGGAGCAAATCAATATGCCCACAGTTCTCACTCAAGGCACAAATGACCAGGGTCAAATTATCCAACTTCAGACACATTATGTGAAGACCTAACTCTCTGGAGAAGGCTCTAATGCTGGGAAAGGTGGAAGGAAAAAGAAAAAGAGGACAACCAGCAGCAAAGTGGATGGAGTCAGTTACAATAGCAATGAGTGCACTGTTGGAATTGCTGAAGGACCAGGTTAGGGACAGATCCTCCTGGAGAAAAACCTATCTAAGTAGTCGCTAAGAATTGACAATGACCTGATAGTATGTAATCATTATCAGCTGTAGAATGTATGTTCTATGTTAATGTTGGGTAATTTTTTTTAGTGGCAAGGAGCTGCCTGGGGGGAAGGGATGAGGGTGCAGGATGGATGGGATCAAAGTTCTCTACTTTTTCTGGATTGTTTTCAGCATAAAATTTAGAGCTTTACATTTTAAAAAACTTTTCTAAGGTTTACACTACAGTTTCCATGTACCTCCCATTTAAAAATGATGGGCAACACCACACTGAGTCTTGGCTATTATTAATTACAGGGGTTTTGAGGGCCACATAGTCCTTGGATATCTAGTTATAAATATAGGATAGGACCTTATCCTATATGTATATATGTACTCTGGAAAAATTAAGCCTTCAGTTCTTTCTCTATGTGTAAGATTTGATAAGGGAAAAGACAAAGGAAGCTTCTTTGTACAGTAAAACCTCAATTTAATGGATTTAACAGACTTAAAATGTAATGGATTTAACTTCAAATTTGCATCCAAACCTCTCTCCAAAACAAGATATTAAGTCTATTGTATCTGAAGTAGTCTGCTAAATTCACTTACATTTATGTTATTACTGTCAGTTTATGTCATTTCTATCAATTTATGTAATCTGTATAATACATAGTTGTGAAATATTTTAAAATGTCATAAATTGATTCAAATGATGTACAGATTTAACAAACATTCATGGGTAATGGACATCCCTACCTTGCCAAGTAATCTGCTACATCAAGGTTTTGTTGTAGTTGGGAAATTTCCGTTCAGAAAGAAGATCAGTAGTCTATTCTACTGAGTTCAGGAAAGTATGATGGTATTTTAGAAAAGCATAGCAGTATTCCAAGACTGATATTGGGGAATTTCCCCTTCCTTATTGTTCAGATCAGAAACAATTAAGCAGCTGAACACATTGATTGTAGCAAAAGTTAAATTTCTGAAGAACAGTCTGAGACATTACTACTGTCCTTTGGCAAAATTAAATTTAAGTTAAGACATTTATTATTCTTATTAACTAATTTTGAGAATGATCAATACCATATAGAACAACTTTCTAATGGCTGATCAGACCAATTACCATATTTAACTTGAAGGTTTAAGAGTGTGTGTGTGTGTGTGTGTGTGTATGTGTGTAGGGCGTATCATGTCAACTCAATGAACCTTTTTTTTTCAGCTTCAGATTGGATTGATGAAGTTTGGGTAAATGGTACTGTGTGGCTCCTGACAAAGTGAAAAAAAAGTTTCTGCAATAACTTCCTTGTTCAAATGTCCTTATGGCCTGTTTCCAAATCTTTCCTTCCTGCCATAAAACTCCCACTTCTGAGGAACCAAAAGAAAATGCAAGAACCAATCAACTGCTTTTGAGATTGAATGCATAAACACTGTACCTCTTTTAACAGCACAGATGAAAAGTACAAGAAATGCAAACAAAGTAAAAGCCAAAGTACAAGGCAAATTATTATTATTATTATTATTATTATTATTTGGTTTCACCAGTGAGCCATCAATATCCCACTTTCGGCAAACTAGCTCCAATATCATTTTGTTCATCAAAAGTCTGTGCAGTGTGAGATGGTTGACAGCTTCTATTGACTTGTCTCCTCCAGCCAGTTGCCTTGAAAAAAGTTTATTGGGACAATATTGCCCTTCAGTAAGTTCCATTTTAACATTAAATACCAGAGTCCTTGGCACGATACTGGCTGCAGTTGGGAATGGTATGGAACATGCTTATCCTTTGAGACACCTTCTCTTAGAAGATATGTATTTATTCTCATTTGTCTTTTTTTTAATGTTAAAAAAAGATCAAGTTTTAAGAGCGTCATTACTTTTGCACATGGCTTTGTAAGGCAGAAAAATCTACTGAATACAGTAATATGAAAGACATATCCAGTTTCCAGAGATCATCTCTTGTTTTGTCAGTTTTAAAAAATCTGATTGGTTAAAGACTCATGTCTTGTATGAAATGTTATATATTCTTTAAAAAAGGAAAAAAAAAAAGAAAGAAGTATATTTTCTTCTCAAGTCCTTTTCCACCAGGTACTCTCCACAATCAGACAGTTGTGGTAGAAATTTGTAGTCCAAGTGGTGAACTGTTGACTTGCTAGATTATGAAGAATCTTATCTAATAGCTTTCCATTTTAGTGATTAACATCAGAGCTTTGAGGAGCCAGTCAGGGCAAGCATTATTAATGCATGTGTTAGGGCAACCATTGTATGAAGTACTGGGTGACCTGAAGAATTTTCCACCATCATACTTGTGCCTGCAAAAAAAAAAAAAAAAAAGTAATTCTGTTGATTTATTAAAAAAAAAAAAGACAACCTCCCTTTCTAACAAACAGGAGATTTAGCAAATGTTTTTTTGAACTCATATTTTACATTTTCTGGCTAGATGTATGAAATCCACAGACTAGTAATATTTGTCTCAAATGTAAGTTGAATATTGCAACCCCATAATTCTTCTCCATCTTAAGTTTTAAACTAAAGAGAGAAGAATTCAACTCCTTTATTCCATCACTATTTAGTTTCAAGGAATAGGAAACCTAGATACATACCCAGATGTTCATGAGATGGGTTCCATATCCAATTTCCCTGAATCTGTAATAACTTCAACACTTTTTCTATCAACCATGATGCTCTTGAGAAACAGTCATGTACAGTAAATTGTTCAGAAATGAAAGTGTGGAACTTGTGCTATTATTGATTCTTTAATACAGAAGGAAAAAAACTGGAATTGATTACCCCAGAAATATATTTTTTTTTCCTGACCATTTATTCTTAGTTTTCCTAATATCACACTAGGTAGGGAATTAAGGAAGAAAGAATCAAGAAGGGGAAAATGAATATGCTTGCTTTGGAAGACAACAGTGCTTGATTTTTTGAAATCTAGTGAAATACTGAATCTACTGGAAAAAAGATTATTGCAAATCAGTTCAAGATTTTTTTTTTTACTGAAAGTGGTATGCGAATGTTCTAAATAAATAAAATTCAAAATAACAAGAAAAGGAAGGGGCAGACGCACCACCGTTTCTCAGAATGTGCACATCTGCTGGATCACCATCTCCACCTGGACCTGTTGTCCTAATTTGCAACAGAGCATGAGTTGAATCTTCTCGGACTGGGATCTCAATCCAATTATTGTTGGCTATGTATAGAACAGGAGCTGAATGTGTATCAGGACGATACAGCATCTGTGGATGAAAGCACCTTGAGTTTACTCTTAGCTTCTCCTATGTTTTTCAATTTCTTCCTCCTCTTTTACAGATCAGTAACCAGAAAATCTGCACAAATTCTTCAACAGCCTGAAATATGCCTATCTTGATCCTGTGCAAATTCAACAGGACTTACAATTAGTAAGCCTAGGACTACAGACATCAGCCTGTAGGTTGAAAGTATATCCCAAGGAACTGCAAAATTGCTAACAGATACAGAACCAAGAATTTGGTTGCAGAACCTGACCTTCAGTGATTAATGCACCAACCCCACCATCCCCAGAACTATGTGTAATGGTAAGGGCTGCACTGATTTGTTATACTGCTCTTTAAAAATTTAGACTCACTCACTCATGGGGAAAACTGCTACATATTATAAATACCTTGTAGCCAGTGACAACAGACTCATCCGCTTTGGCAATCACAGGATCCCACTTAATGCTTACACTGGAGCTGGAAAACGTCCAGGTAATGTTGCCAGGCAGCATTTTTGGTGCTAAAAATGTAAAAAGTAGAAATTTTAAAGAGAGTCAACAGAAGGCAAACCATAGCTTGAGTACCGCAGCCAATCTGGAGAACCACATCATCGCTCGAAAATCTATTAACATTTTGTATAAATGAGCCATCGATGCACCCAGTTTCTTTCCCTAGCTCATTTGGAAAATGGATAGAATTGAAACACCTCCATTGTACTGATCTTTACTCCTAGGTATTTCAACAATGATTTTTTTTTAAGCCTTTACATGTATGTGAATTTGTAATTTTCCAGACGGAATGCAGCTACTAACCACATAGGGCATACCATATCTTTAGCCATCCCTTTTCTTTGGAAATATCAAAAAGGCTAAATCCCAGATATCTACTGAGACTTTTGTGAACTGCAAAAAGATGGTTGGCAAACTGCAGTGTGCTTGGCATGTCATACATTGTGTTTTATCCACCTTTTCTCAGAAGGCAAAATGCCATATTTCCTACAGAGTTGATAAAAACAATGAATAGAGAATTAGTGATTTCATAATAGATAACTGAAATTTCTGCTGCCAGATTGTGTATCTAAAGGAACCTGGAGTGCATCAACCTCTCTTTGAGGAGACTCATCTTCTTGCTGATATCCTCTCCCAAGCATGTTCTTGCCTTATGTCTCTGGTTCCAAATGCTCAGAGAAGGAATACAAAACAAGGGAAGGACACTGATATTGTTTGCATGCTTTGAGAGGCCCTCAAAAGTAGCCCCACCAACATGAAGCAGTACAGAAATAATACATATTAAACATAGATCTCTACAGCAAGATGATAGGTCTAGAAAATAATACCTATGAATAATGCATGCAGCTACATGAAGTACGTGAAGAACAGAGCAGTAATTGCTATTCGATCAAATGTTCACTTACGTGGCTTTTTTGTCCAGAAACTGGTGGGGGAACTTGCTGGCCCAGTCCCTGCCCCATTGTATGCTCTGACTGACACATGATAATTTGTGTTGGGATGGAGGTCTGTCACATGTGCCAAATTGACAAGACCAGCTGTTCTCACTCTGTCAGCAGCTTCTTCTTTGTCACCATGTTTCCAGTATCGGATCTGAAGACAGTAATATACATTTCTGTACAGAAGAAGATTCAGTTGAGCCTAAGCAACAATCCTAGCTTCTTTGGCACTGAAGAATTTCTATTGACTTAGCATTACATTATTATACCTGAATAGCCCATGTTACCCACTCCACAAGAACAGATTGTGTCATTTTATAAGACAATTCATATTAAACCAGGAGACCTTTGCTGATCCAGTGAAGTGGCTTCATAAGAAGTTGAGACTTCAATCAAACTGATCCAATTCTTATTCTTATAGAGAATATTTTACAAGGTTCTACCTTGTTCCAGTTTCAGTCCCATCTCTTACCTCATAACCCAAGAGGACTCCATTCATATCATGATGTTCCACAGAATTCCAGGAAACATCAATTTCTGTGGCCATTACTGCCTTGACTGTAATGTTAGAGGGAGCCACTCTTGGTTCTGTCAAAGTAAAACAATTTACTAGAAAAATTCCTTTACAAGTATGGCAAATCTAATCCAGTTTGAAAGATCCATAAGATCAAGATTAGAAGCTAGACCCTTGACCCAAAATTAAAAGACGAAGCAGAAGATTTCTCTTCAAAAATGCTGTTGATTAAATTTGTTAAATTGCTTTTAGGAGAAACAGAATAAAATTGAATTGATACTAAGCTAGAATCTGTAGAACTCTATAGCTGTCTATAGATGATTGCTTAGAATTTTACTTTATGTATTTATTTATTTATTTATTCATTCATTCATTCATTCATTCATTCATTCATTCATACATTTTATATGGCCGCCCATCTCAAACAAATGACTCTGGGCAGCTAACAATCATAAAATCATTGAAAACCAAATTACAATCACAGTACAAAAAGAAAATTAAATATATACAGCAGCCGAGAACAATTATAATCCATAGATGTTAACATAACCAGGAAACGGGGCCCTTCATATACTTAAGACTCCAGGGCTGGGAATATAACCAGGCCTTCAAGGCTTTACAAAAGGCCAACAGGGTCAGGGCCATCCTAATCTCTGGAGGGAGAATATTTCAGAGGCAGGGGTTATGGCAAAAAAGGCATGCCTCCTGGTCCTTGTCAGCCGATGTTCCTTGGTTGATGGGACCTGGAGCATGCCCATCCTGCTGGAATGGATTAGATGGGTAGAAACAACTGGGAGAAGACAGTTCCTTAGATAACCCAGTCCCAAGCCATGAAGGACTCTAAAGGTGAAAACCAGCACCTTGAATTGCACCTGGAAAAACACTGGCAACCAATGCAGATCATGAAGCAGTGGTGTTACATGTGCTAAGTACTGTTCACCATTTACTACCCATGCAGTTGCATTCTGCACCAGTTGAAGCTTCTGAATGCTCTTCAAGGGCAGCCTCATGTAGAGCGTGTTGCAGTAATCCAGATGGGAGGTCACAAGCACATGAGTGACAGTGAGCAGAGCCTCATGGTCCAGGAATGGGTGCAACCCGAAGGTGTGCAAAGGCCCTCTTAGCCACAGCTACCTCCTGCTCTTCCAGCAGGAGCTGTGAGTCCACGAGGACCTCCTGATTGCGCACTGGGTCTGTCTGAGGCAGTGCCACTCCATCCAGTACCAAAGGTGGAAAAACCTTAACACCAGAAGGCCCAAGTACCCAAAGCCACTCATTCTTGCTTGGGTTGAGCCAAAGCCCATTGGGCCCCATCCAGGCACTGGGGCAGGACACCCATAGCATTGCTCAGGCAGCCTGGGATGGAGATATAAAACTGGGTATTGTCAGCATACTGATATAGCCTATTAAAGGAAATTCATATACTTTCCCAGACTCTATGGCCATTGCCCATGATACCTAGGAAATTGCCAAATAGCAGTATATCTGGAAAATCAGGTCAAGAATATCTATTATAGAACTTTTAAGATCTGTTTAATCCCAGCCTACCTTCTTCTGCAGAATGCACAACAGATACTAGGCTCTCTGGCCCTTCTCCCTTCCTGTTGAAGGCCTTGATCTTCACTTCAAATGGTGTATAGGGTGCAATGCTCTCATTGCGATAAACATAATGTAGTGATTCTGCATGGGGCACATTTGCTATCTTCCAGATCTGGGTGCCTTCTTTCCGGAAATAAAGCCTATATCCAAAGTCATCTCCATTTTGGTACTCTCGTTGCATTGGCTGAGACGAAGGTTGTGATATGAGAAAGGGAGAGAGGGTGGGCAGGAAACAACCACTGAACACAATAGAAATACTTCACAATACTTATCTGGTTAAAATTTTATAATACCATCACATATTTTAGATTAATGTATGCAATAATAACATGAAACATTGAAATAAGCAATCTGAACTCAGTAACAGTATGTGAAATCAAGTTTCACTTGATTTTTATATGGCATATACTGTATATTTCAATTAGTAAGGATTTTACAGAAACATGTAATATTTGGGTGGAAAGGAATTCTGGAAATCATCTAGTCCAATCCCCTGCCCATTACAGGAATCTACTACTACAACATTCTGAACAGACAGCACCTAATCTACATAGACTCCACTACTTTCTGAGTTAATCTGTTCCACTGTTGAACAGCTCTCTCTACTGGGAATTGTTTTCTGATATCCAACCATAATCTACTTCCTTGTAATTCAAACCCATTTTTTCTTGTCCTGCCTTCTGGGACACCTCTGAAAAATTTTGCCCTGCCCTTACATGATACCTTTCAGATTCTTGAAGTCTGGTATTATGTATCCTTCTGGTCTTTCCTTCTCCTGGTTAAACATATTCAATGCTTCCAATCACTCCTCAAACAATTAGGGGCATTCTTTCAGGCCCCTAATAATCTTGGTTTCTATCCTCTTGACATGCTTGCTTTGTCAATGTCCTCCCTGAAATATGATGCTCAAAACTGGACACCATATCTTCAGTATGGTTTCACCGATGCAGTTCAGGGAGGAATGATTCTCTTAGGTACAGTTCTGACATTGACATTATACTGCAGCTTCTTCACACTGTTGGGTCACATTCAATTTATAATCCACCAAGACAATTTTAGCATACAGGTAGTCCTCAATTTATGACCACAATTGGGACCAGAACTTCCATCACTAAGTGATGCAGTTAAGTGAGTCATGCCTGATTTTACAATCTTTTTTGCCATGGTTGTTAAGTGAATCACCATGGTCATTATGTGAATCCAGCTTCCCCCATTGACTTTGCTTGTCAGAAGCCCCCTGGGAAGGTTGCAAATGGTGATCACATGACCCTGGGATGCTGTAGCTATCGTAAATACATGCCAGTTGCCAAGTGCCCAAATTTCACATGACTGCAGGGATCCTGCGATGGTTGTAAGTGCGAGGAGTGGTCATAAATCACTTTTTTTGTGTTATAAGTGTTGTAACTTCGAATGGTCATAAAATGAATGGTTGCAAGTTGAGGACTACCTGTATTCTGCTATCCAGTATGGTCCCCCACATTCTATATTTATATCTTTGACTTTTCCTACTTAAATGTAGGGCTTTGCATTTGTCCCCGTTGAAATTAATCTTGCTGGTTTCTGCCCATAGTTCCAGCTTGCCCAGATCTTCCTGAATCTTGGTACTATTCTCTCCCTTACCATCTTACCATCTTACCATCTCCCTTATCTTTGTGTAATCTGCAAATTTGAAAATCATATTTCTTAATTGTTCAGGTCATTTATAAATATGCTGAATAGTACAACACCTAGAAAGAGCCCTTCTGTATGCTAATTGACACTTCTGGCTTGATGTGGAGTCATTGACAAACACTCATTGAGTATGACTGTTCACCCAGCTCTGTAACCATTTAATGGCAACACAGTTCGGTGCACATTTTACCATATTTTCTACTAGTATCTCATGGGGATGGTTGAATATATTGCTGAAAATAGCATAGCCATGGAAGACAAACTCTACCTCACTTCTAACACTTAGAAGAACTTGCTGTGTGGAGTTCAGTCACATGATTTTAGTATACAGTAAACACCTGGTACCACAGCCCTGGCAGCCAATAAGAGGGTGCAGGGACTCAAAATGTGTCAGCTAACTTCTGTTTCAAAATGCTGTCATATGGACAATGTTAATTTTATATGATAAGGCTATTGTAGTGGCAATCTTGTGGAAGTTTCACAGTTGCTTTTCATCAGAAGGTAATAATATACCATGTATTTTAATATTTCTATAAAATTTTACAGGTTAGTGAAAATTTTCCTATTGCACACAATAGCTTTAATATAATATTCAGTATCCAAGTTAACCAAAATATGTTTGCATTCCTATAAAATTAATCATGCAAAGTTTACAGAGAAAAACCTTGGGACACAAAAAATGATTTCTTCATGATTATACAAGGTGATACAGGAATTATAATATCAGGTAACATTTTTTACTGCTTGACTATTTTAATGTCACATAAGAGTCAAATCCACTTGAAGCAATAGCAACATTCATGTGTTTTGAATGGCTGTTTTGTTTACTTGCATGTTCCTAAACGTTCCTATTAAATACAAACTGTATTATATTAATTATGAAAATGCACACTTCTGTGGCCAACTTACTGTCCAATTGATGATGAGTTCCCCTGGTGCTCCTCCTCCTCCACTGAGTCCTGATGGTGCAACAGTAGGGGCTGTTGTGTTCCCAGTAAGGAAGACAGTGTGCAAGTCAAATTAGGAAAAAAAAAAGAGTAAACATCACTGAAACCCTCCATCATTTAATAAAGATATAACAATATAGACAGCTGCTCTGCACTGAATCAAATCACTTGTTCATGTGGCTCAATATTGTAACCACTGATTGGCAATAGGTACCCATGATTTTAGAGAGGGTGTGAAGATGCCCAGATCTGTAAGTGGAACTTTTTGTATTCAAAATATTTGCCCTATCACTGAACCATGCCCCCTTCCTTTTACTGTACCATGTGAAAGATAAAATAACAATAGTTATAAATGAGATTTGGATTGACTGGTCTTTTGTTCTACAAATTGTTTAACATGGTTAGTATTTTTGAACTCTAAAATTCTCAAACTATGGCATATTTTTAGTTATGGGGCTGTAACATATTTAGCTATGGGGCTGTGGTTAGTAGAATCTTGACTCTGACTTAGCTGTACCTCGGTGTCCTTGATATCTCTCACCATCAATCCTCCAGGAGGGCCTGGAGGACCCACCAAAAAGAAACAACAAAAATTGCATTTAAGAAGTCTGCCTCATGAGGTCCATAGAATTTCTGGAGGAAGGAGGAAATGGGAAGATCACTACCCATCTCCTTCCTCTGCCATAATGGAACTTCATTAAGTGCTACTCTGAATCCAAACGATAATGCCCAAATTGCCCTTTAATGTACAATTTTCAAAGCTACAACAAAAAAAGAATAGAACACAATACACACTATACTTTGTCCAGAGTGGGTAGGTTGCTCATGAACCTCCTGGGGTCTGTGAGCAACTTAGAAGAAGGTCCCCTTTTTTAAATGATACCTAAGGCATGGAATTTGAGTGTGGACTTCTGAGTGTTACTAACCCTAATGGAATAATTGGTTTTGGAGTGGGGTCACACAAAGTAATTTATCATTTTAGGCTGTTGTGGAATCACAGTTTGAGAACCACTGATTTAAAGGATAACAGTTATATCTACGGAAGTCAAAATACAATGCAGTAAAAAAGATTATAACTAATATTCACCTTTTTTTTAAAAAAAAAGGATTTTAGTCTACAGGAAAGTATGAAAACCATATAAATTGTAGTTATAACACTTAACACTAGTTGGCTGCTGAGTCCAATGGAAGAAAAGGAGAATTTATATGGGCCATTACCTTACTATGAGAATGCTGATAACATTATGCAGCTGATCCCAGATTTTATTATTTCATATTTTATATATACACACCAGCTTCTTTGGTTCGAGTTTTGGTAGATGGCACACTGGGCTCTCCACTTCCAAGGACATTGCTAGCCTGGACACGGAATTCATAATCCATCCATGGTATGAGGTTGATAACTTGGGCTGTCTCTGCATTACCTTCAATATTTGTGGGATCTGTAACCCAAAAGCAGAACAGAATAAATAGAGCAACCAGCACTAAAGGAAGAAAAGGTTAACTTTATACTGAAACCTGCTTAGTGCAGGCCACTGCCCTCAAGACACTTACTGGTACGCATTTGCTTCCATTGGGGAAAGAGTGGAGTGCGGGCCTGGATGACGTATTTAGCTATGGGGCTGTGGTTTGCAGAACCTTGACTCCAACTTAGCTGTACTGTGGTGTCCTTGATATCCCTCACCACCACTCCTCCAGGAGGGCCTGGAGGACCTACCAAAAAGAAACAACAAAAATTGCATTTAAAACGTCTGGCTCATGAGATCCATAGAATTGCTAGAAGGAGGAGGAAATGGGAAGATCACAACCCATCTCCTTCCTCGGCCAGAATGGAACTTCATTAAGTGATACTCTGAATCCAAATGATAATGCTCAAACTGCCCTTTAACATACAATTTTCAAAGCTACAACAAAAAAAAGAATAGAACACAATACACATTATACTTTGTCCAGAATGGGTAGGTGCAGGTTTCATAGCGAAATAAATAATCAGATGGAAAATTAGCACATATGGCTGAAGAATATGATTGATTATAGCTAATGCATGCCTCAGACTACACAAACACCAACCAACCATCGACCACGCACACCAAAAATTGGAACAAATCTTAAAACCAAAGCATGTAACAATGTAAACTACAGCCACTGAAAACAGGATAAAGGCAAGCTAAAAAAAGAAAAGAGACACTGAACACGAAAATATGGAAACTGATATCAACAAACAAGCATGAAACCCAGCCACCCCTTATTTGCTGAAGAATGTAGTACCCTCCAGAAAGGTCTAAACTACAATAAAGAAAAAGTAAATATACTGCAATTCTTTGCATACTTAGAAGCAGCACTAAAAAAATCTGAAATAAATAAAGAACAGGAAGAGATATGATAGACTTCTAACCAGCAATAAACAGAGACACTACCATTTTAACACAAAACAGAAAAGGCAGCAAAAATACTGAAAACTGACAAACCATCACAATCCTCCCAACTGACAAAGGACATAGCACATTCATCACAAACAGAGCACAGAGTATCCAAAAAGCAAAATAAATATTCAGTAACAGCAAAACCTATAGCCCAATAAACAATAACCCTATATTAAAACTGGACAATGAAATTAAGAAAATATACAGTGCACTAACAAAACTCCCAAGGACAAAAAAGAATGAAAAGTAATGGATCTATCCTCCCATGCTTCCACAGACCTCCAAAAATACACAAATCTGATATCTTGCTTTGTCCTACCATATTGTTACTAAGGAACCATATATACAACCTATCCAAAGTAGTGGGCAAGAAATTCAACCACCTTATAGATGGCTGCAAACACTTCCCCAGCTTGCCACTGCAATGCCTTTTAAACATAAATTAAAAGACCTAATAATTCAGGAGAATGGAATCATTCATTGAATTGATTGATATTGAATCAATCAATATCATTCATTGTCACCACCCTCTTCATCTTGATTGGACCCAAACCTGCAATTAAGTAATCACAGTGCTATTACACAACACACAGAGCCTAATCAAACACACAAAAATCAAAATATCAAAACTTAAATAATTCATAGATCTTTATGCCACCTTGTAGTTTCTGTTTGATGACCAGATGTATGAACAGATCAAAGGGACCAATGGGATCTCCAATCTCAGGACTCACAATAGAAATAATAGTGCAATGACTAGAAAATATACTTCTCTCTCTAATTCAGGCAAGTCTATGAATCCTATACATAGATGATAGCTTTGTCATAACCAAAAAAGAACAGTTAGAAAATACATACAACAATCACCCAATACATTCCATGGAATCAAATTCTCCATAGGAGAAAACAGCAACAGAGTACTTTTTCAGCGGAAAAACTAATGGTATACTACAAAGCCAAGTCCATTGGAAATGAACGCACATTAATGAATTCCTCTACTAAAACAGAAATAACCCAATAGTACACACAAGGAGTTGCATAAAGATACATTTGAATGAATCACAACACACTACAGCACCCTGGAATAATAGAAGCAAAAATAATCTATCTACATGACAATACAACAAATACCCATGCAATTTCATTAAAAATGCATGTCAATTCAACCAACAACAGCACAAATATCACAGCTTACAAAAAGGACAATCCTTCATCAAAGGCATCTTGTCCACTGACAGGTTACTCCAACCATTTGGAATAACTATGGTGCACAAACAAAGGAAGTCCCTACAAAGCACACCACGCAAGCCAAAGTCCCAGTGCCAGAGGAAGACAAAACAGGAGCCATCTACAAAATAAAACACAAGGACTGTGCACATCACTATATATGGAAGAAAACTAGCAGAACATATCCATAAATACTAGTTATCTCTCAAAAGACATGACAATATCTCTTCATATAGACAACCTGGGACATCACTTCCATTGGGAAACAGTAGAAATCTTAGAACAAGCCAGCTCAAAAATTGCAACAGAATTCTTAGAAGCACGGCACTCCAACTAAGCAGCAATCTTATAAACATATAAACTTAAACACTATCAAAAGACATAACCAAATGCCCAGCATTAACGTGCCAGTTCCATACACATTTTATTTACCAGCTCTTCACAAAGCTGAGGTAGAGTAAAACTATTTCAGAACATATGACTGTAAGTAATATTCATAAGGATTTTTTTAAAAATTCACATTGTAAGAAATAGACTCCACATGTCTCTTATTTAACTTTTGAATGCAATGTATATTTAAATGACTACGTTTGCTTGACATATTGTGCTTGTGTGCTCATAAGACAAAAGTCTTTAACACTAAAGGATGGCAATTTATATTATGTTGGGTGAGTGTACATACATGTAACAAAATATACTTCCATCTCTTGGATTGCTGTATGAAGAAATAAGAGGGACTTTCAGACCAAAGAAGTCAGCTATCTCTCAGGCAGATGGAGCAGAAACAATTAAAGATGGAACTTGTCATTTCAAGAAGAAGGAATCAAGAAAAAAATACCTCTTACAACCAGCATAGCTGACTCAGAAGCACTGTCCACCACTGTCTGGGCTGTGCAAGTGTATCGGCCAGCGTGTTTCAGTTGAGCATTTAAGACTACAAGATCTCCAATATTCTCTTTCTATCCATGGGAGAAACAAACCATCAGCAAAAGTGTCAGAACCAACAAGGAATTTTGCAATGCATACATTTAAGAAGATTTTTAAAAACACTGGATTGTCTTGGAAATAGATGCACCTTTGACGAGACCTAAGATCTCCACACATTACTGATTTTCTGGGGAAAAAAAGTAGCATCAAATTAACAGTACTTACTGTACTAGCTCGCTTATAATGGCCTTCAGACTTGCTCAAATCAATGAAAAAGTCATCCAGGGACCAGGTAAAAGTGAGATCCATTGTTGGGTCGTGGGAAGCATGGCATTGGAGGGTAATGTCCTCACCTAAGTTGATGTCAGCACTGGATGGTGCAAGAGTAATTTTAGTAGCATCTGCAAAAAGATAAGAAAAACAAGAAGTCAGAGTAGAAAGCCATTTGGTATGCATAGTGAGGGGGGGAAACGCTCTTGGGAACTCTCCCTTTCTGAGCTTTCCGACAGTCGCCTTCTGCTCTTAGAGAGGAAACACAATAAAAAAAAAATCCCATGGTTCCTGGGAGGTCCTTGTAGTCACCACAGGACTGTGCTGACAATACATTAATGATGCGTTCTTCCCTTCCAGAGACGTACTTTGTTGACAAAATGCATTGCTACCCTTTCCATTATTCTTACATTTGTCCCCATAGAAGTAAAGCATCTATCCTTACCACGGACTGACAGAATTCCTGTGCTGTTTGCTTTGCCCATGAAATTCTCAGCAAAGCAAGTGTATTTCCCTTCATCAGGCTTGCTAATATTTCGAATGATCAGGGTGCCATCTGGGGTAATAATTATGCTGCAGTGGAAAAAGAGACCACCAGAAAACACATCATACAATACGACAGTCACAAAAGCCTGGGTTAAAGAGATGAAGCATCAAGACACTAATGAGTTCTGCCCTATAAAGTAGGGAAGGTGTCAACAACAATATTCCATATAAAATTGGTCTTCAGTGAAATGGCTGGACTCACTGACGGCTTGCATCTGAACGTCAGTAGGACTACAATGCTATTGTGGTCGGAATGTCATTTTTAGGAGACAAAGAGAAAGAAAAGATAACTAGATGATGACAGCTAGGCCATTCAAACTGTGAATCTTGCAAAATACCCTCTGCTCACTGGCTTATTTCAAAGTGATCTGGGAGGGTAGAGCCAGTGTACATTGCAGGTAGAGTGCTAGATTAAGACTCAGGAGACTCAAGTCCACCCAACCATGAAGCTGACTTTGCACATTTTAATTCCTTCCCTCCCTCCTTCTCTGGCACAATAAAGTGTGCTCTCAGTTCTATTCCTATCCAAATGGTCTGGCGCAGCTAAGAACCAAAAACAAAACTTCAATATTCTATTATAACAGGACAGGCTTTTCTGTCACACTGCCATCTGGATATCACTGCACATTTAAATCAATTAATGGGCTTCAAGCAAAACCACAACAGATTATATGCTTTTGAACAATCATCCTTAACTGGAAGTAAGGCCAACAGAAGAATTTTTCAGGGGACCATGCATGAGATCAGGCTGAACATATATTAAAATCATTCCCACATAATAATTTAGGTTAACTAGAGTTAGGAGGTACTTGTATAACTAGAAATATATGTGTAAAGCTATTGACACTATGCTAAAAATAATAATGGATTTCTCCTACCTGGAACTATTTCTCAGAAGTTCAGTGCCTTTGGTCCAAAGTATAACAGCCTTTGGGGCAGCTCTGGGCTGACAATGAATAATAATTTCTCCACCTCGAGCTGCTGGTATCAATTGTCTGACAGGGTTTAGTCGGAAATCTGGAGCAAAGGCTAAAGAGAAAAGGCAATTAATGAGCTTCTACCAAAAAAAAAAAAAAAGAGTCACAAAAACAATTATTTCTTGGTCATTAAAAATAATTTGTAATAATGAGATGGCCTAATGTACCATGCAAGTACAACCACTTTATATTCATTGCTTCCAATTCATTGAATAATTGTAAATATTATAATAGTGTAAAAGCCAACTTGGTTGCAGATCATGAAAAGCTGCCCAATTCTTCCCAATTGTTCACCAACACTTTTCTGCCTTCTGCAAGTGGTTTCTATGTAAAAACTTACTTCCACAAAATAGATGTTCATCACCCCAAAAGACTACCATGCACCTGGCTTGGGTCCATCATACCTGATGTTGGTCCTCGGCAACAAAGTTTCATCTGTGCCACCTGTGAGTACAGCTGCACTCCTCTTACTCAAAACACTTCTCACCCCAGGCTCTATCTTTCTGCTGCCGCCCTGCCTCTCCACACAAAAATGGTTCTCTACAGAGACTCTTGCTGTAAAAAGACTGCAAAGTGCCAATTCTTTGAAATTCTGTGGCAGGCATAAAAAAAACATTAAGGTTTCCCTCTCCTTCTTTATTCATATTGAAATAAAAAGACATTTTATGCAGAAAAGAGAAAGAAAGAGAGGTGCAGTCTGATAAAATGGTGAAGGAGTTGGTCTAGGACAATGTTTTTCAAAGTCAGCTTGAAGATGTGTGGACTTCAACTCCCAGAATTCCCCAGTCAGCATGAGTTGAAGTCCACACATCTTGCAGAGCTTGAAAAACACTGCTCTAGGAGTAGGGAGACTCAGGTTCAAGTCCCCCTTCAGGCATGTAATTTCCCTGGGGGACTTTGGACCAGTCTCTCAATTGGTCTCTTGCAGGGTTATTGCTGTTGAGTAAAATGGAAAAAGGGAGCACTATATCTACCCCTTGACTTCCTGAATGAAAGCCAGGATAGAAATTTAACAAACAAATAATATTTGTGTAACATGTATGATTGATAAAAACAATCTCAAAACAGGGGTATGAAATTCAAATAATCTTAACCAAAAAACCTACTTCTTTTAAGAATCAAGAAAGCTAAATCTATAATTATAACCAAAAAAACCACGGCATCTGAAGTTTTGAATTTTGAAGAGAAGATTTGCTGATTTTGAGACTGAATTCAAAATGAAAATGTCAAATTTAAGAAAGCTGTTGAATGCACTGACTGACGTGTGTGATTAATTAAATACATGGTCATTCAGTCACTTCAATCACAACAGGACTAAAATGCTGAGTTTCTCAGATGAACAAAGCTGTACTGCTGAAAGACAAGGTACAAAAAAAAAGAGAAGATAATGAGGGCTGGCTGAAGATATTTCACCCTCCAAAGTAAACGACAAATTCCTTCTCCCGTGTACATACACAGAACTGTTCCATCCACAAACATTTCATATACAGGAGCTAAATAACCACAGGTGCCTTGCTGGAAGGTAAAAATGTCCTATTCATTTCCAATGTCTATAGTATTATCTATGTTCTCTCTCTCTTAAAAATTCTGCTAATTTAACTGCATATGTAAACAAATGTTTTATTGGCTGCAAAGATTCCTTGATCCTTGAGTAATACAAAGGGAGAAATAAAATGTGTGGTTAAATATCCTTTAACCAAAGCAGATATTTGATATTCATTTCTTTAAAAAAATCTTCCCATACAAATGACAGAGTGCATTGCCTTAGAAGTAGACCACTAGGAATTGTACTAGATATCTTTTTTTTTTTTAAACAGCATCTATTAAGCAATTTGACTAAGTGCGAAGGCACTACAATATCCTGTTTTTTAAGCAGGACAACCTGCAGTTTCCAAAACCACACTATCCCAAACAAGCAACACTATGTTCAGTTCAAGGGAACTGATTAAACATACTTAGGAAAATTAACTTCCCTATCTGATTTACAGGGCTATTGCTCATTTAATTCTTAGAAAGCCAGAAATTACCTTGGACATACAATTCCGCATTTGCATAGATTTTGCCATGTTTGTTCTCTCCTATACACTGGTATATCCCTGAATCTTCCACTGTTAACTTTAAAATCTTCAAATTCCCACCGTTCACTTCAATGCGATTCTGTGCAGAAAAGGGAATGTCAAGAATTACCAAGATTATCAGGACTTCCAGTGAGCCACCATGGCGAGCTGACGTTCCTGTAGAATAGAGGAACACATTGCAGCCGAAAATGGCGCTAGAATGTGGGATTCGGGCTGCCGAAATCTCTCCAGAGCAAGGAGATATTGCAAGATTACCCATATGTACTCTGTATAGCTGTATTTTGTGAGCAAATGGCAGGAACTGCATGTTTTGCAGTCAGTTTGTAATCGGCTGGGAATCGCAGGATTTTGCAGTCAGCTTGTAATCAGCTGGGAATTGTGGGATTTCATCGGCTGGCAATCGTGGGCCTCCTAGGGCATCCCCCACCCCCATGAGGCACCCTTGTGCTCCTTACTCAGGATTCTATCTATTTAATGACCTGGGATTCTTACTTAACGATGGCAGCCGGGAGTGCTGCGATTGCGGTTGCTAAGTGAAGTGGTCACGTGATAATTTGCTTAACGTTTCATTTAGCAACCTAAATTCTGGTCCCAATTGTGGCCATTAAGTGAGGACTACCTGTATTTTGATCTGCTAATTCTCTTTGGCAATCATGACTTCTGTATTTCAAGCCCTTCCTTTTCTTCCTGCTAATGTCTGGGAAAAGCCAAGATTTGGTCACTTTTAGATAAAGATGGATTTTCACAACATGTTTAACCATACTTAGTATTAATCATTGTCTGAGGATAAACTGTTAGCTAGTCAAGTTGACCACCTCTCTAGCAGTCCCTACCTTCTCTGCTGCTAATGTGTTGTTATTCTTCTTGCATTCATTCAAAAAGAACGTGCCCGTGTGGCTGAGGGGACTATGGCCACTTCTTATAGCATAGGGTAAAGGAAAACTCCTTTGTTTTCAAAACAAAACTCCACATATTTGCAGAGCCAAATAAGAAACAGATTGGGAGCTTCTCTATATAGTTATTCCTTTATCATTTCTCATTTTCTCAGAGGATTAAAGGCTGCTATGACATAAATTAGCAGTTAGTCCATGGTTAAAATAATATGTAAGAAGCTATGGTTACAGAATTTTTCTTAAACACTTTTTTTTACAGTCTGGGTTTAGACAACATAAGGCCAAGTTGCACTATGATTTTAAAACTTCTGCAGCAGTGGTTAATGGCATCTTCACTTGCTAAGCAGTCATATGAATGAACTTGGTGGCTCTTAACTAATAAAACAAAGTGGAAAGGTTGGGCAAATGTCTTAATATTACAGATTGTTTCATCAGCTTGGTTGAAATGAAGACTATAATAAATGAAAGCCTTTCTGCTTAATTGAAGGGAGGACTGAAGGAAATGTATTGATGCCCTCAGTGCTTCTTCACAGCATAATTTATTAAGCCAAAACATGACTATCCACAGTAACAACATCTGGAAGACACTAGATGGCAGCAAAGATGTATACAAAACTCTGGCTCTCTGCTGCCATCTAGTGGTTGTTTTCCACCAGATTTAGTACTGTAGTCCTACCTGTATAAGCTGGAAAGGAGACTCCAAAACAGTTCCTCAGTAAAGGTTTTTATTTTTAATTAAGTTCCTGTTTAACTGTCATTCTTTAAGGTTTCAGCCTTGCCTTCCAAATTCTAGTTTGCATTAAATGTTCTACAATTAAAATATTTGCTAGTAATCCCTATCAGTATGCTTGGTTATTATTTAGTGATATAACTTCATCATATTAAATATAACATATTGTGGCAAAGTTCCTAATGATTGTGGCTAGGAGCCAAACTAAACACTGTGTTATTTACCCAATTAACAATTGTGAGATTATTATTTTTAAGAAAGCACGGCCACAGGAGGGAGGGACTGTCTGAACTGGAAAACATAATCAAATGGGAATCTTGGTCCTGATCCAAAATTGTAGTTACTCTTATTAAAAACTTTAAAGCGTTAAGTGAGAATGTGCTAGTGCCAGCTGTTTGCCTAGCACAATCGGGGTTGAGAGCTGCAAGCGTGCTAGGCAAATAACCGCTGCTAGTGCATTCCTTTCAATGTGTATTCCCCATTATGTGCCTGCTTACTCTCCTGTAATCCCTTCCTTTCCAATGAATGTAAATACAAACATTAATTCCCTTCTTGCTAATTATCTCAGTGCCAGGGTGAGCATTCCGAAGGGCGGGGAAGTGGGGGAAAAGAAAAGTTGTAGTAAAATCATAACCACAGTTGCAGTCACGTGATTTTCCACTTAGTGACCATGTCACTTAGCGACCAAGTTGCCAGTCCCAGTTGTGGTCACTAAACAAGGACTACCTGTGCAGATAAAAAAACCCACTCCTGGGTTTTGTCAAATGGAGGAAAAAATCTAAGAGATACCCAATCTAGGTGACAAGGGATGAATTTGTTTATGGGTACTTGTATAAGGAAGGAGAAAAAAAGTATATGGAAAACTACAAGAATAGTTACATAGTCTTCAGCATGTTGACACAAAGGTCAAGGATACAGCTAAAACTGTTCATTTGTCAGTGACAGATGAGATACCTGGGAAGTTAATGGTTGCCCATTCCGTAGCCACCTTAATGTAGGCCTTGGCTTGCCAGCTGCAGCGCAGCTCCAGTGGAGATTTGATCCAATGTCAGCTTCTCTATCTGTGATGACTTTGAGCCATTCTGGCTGAGCTAAAAAAGAGCAAAAGAGAAACAGGTTCCATGTGTTTCAAACAGTGCAAGATGATGATGAAGATGATGATGATGAAGATGATGATGATGATGATCTAGTGAAGATTTGCTACACTACACTGTTGTTCTTTTCATTTCTAAAACCTGAATGATAGCACATATGCATGACACACATGTGTCTCTCCATTAAGTAAGGATAGATTTCTTCTCCGCATGGTTCAGTTATCAAGCAAATAAATTTAGGTGTTATCACAACAATAAATTAAAAAAAAATTTTTTTTTACCAATGCAATAAAATGGAAAGAAAAAAAAAAGTGAAAACCAGAAGTAGACAAAAGGATTATGTGCTCAGCTCATTTCTGGGATTGAGAGTAAATTCCAAGGCTCAGATTATGTTCACACGCATACTGTCATTCAGTTCTAAATTTGTCTCTCCTGGGGTGGCTCTGACTGGTCGCTTTGGGTTCTACTTCTAATATTAAACAAAGTTGATCTGAAACAAGCCTGAAAATAGTCTTCTCTACTTTATGATGCAGATTTTGTTAAGGCTAACAACAAGTATGAGTCCTATGGATGTTTTGATAAATAAAGGAGCCCTAATAAGTTCCAAAAACATAATACATGGAAAAATGTGCCTTATAAGAGAACCTGCAGGGGTCCTTTACCTTGAATAATGATGCGGCCTTTATAAGTATCTTTTCCTTGGGTGTTCTCAGCTTCACACTCGTAAGTGCCTTCATCATCAAAGCTAACTTCTTTAAACTGCAGGACAGGCTCAGTTGAGATCCATCTGGAAGAATGGCTACCATCTACCTTTCGCCATTTTATTTGTGGGACAGGGCTAGATTGTGAAAGAAACATCTGTCAAAGGGTATTTGAGAATCAGGGGCAATGCAACATGTTACCCATTGCTACTTTTTCTTTTCCTCATTATGTGTAGCATCTTCTACAGTACTTTTAAATAAGGCTGTGTGCATCATAGGATCAGAATGCAGTTACTGTACAGAGGGCAATCATATGACTCCAGGAAAATACAGAGCTGCATTAAGGAATTGCCAACAAGTACTATGCGAGTGCCCCGGCATTCTCTGAAGCACATTCCCCCCCCCCCGCTTGATTTGACACCACTGCATGGCCTACTTTTAACTTGTTCAACCTTACTTCCTTGTCTTATTAATATGCAAATATATACAGCAGACTGGCTGGCAAATAGTCACATCTTCTACTATCCCCCCTTGTGTTTGTGTGGATTTTGTACTTGCTTCAAAACACCCTTATTACACCACCCAGTCCAGGGCAAATGAGTAGTATTAGTGTATAGAGAAAGAAACTGGAATAAAACAAACCCTTTGTGAGCTGAAACTTAATCCAGTTGACCTTTAGTGTTCCAGTAGCCAATGATCAAAATAGAGAGTAAATAATATTCAGATTATTAAAATCTAATTCATTTAACAGGCAAACACAGCACAAAACTCTGTGCACAAATCAGCCACTCTATAACAAAAAGAGAATGGGCTCAGTCAAACGTACTATAGGTCAGAAGAGCTAAACGCTTAAGATCCCCACACTTTCCCTAGGACAGGTTATCTGTTACTTAAAAGTAATAGCTCACACCTTCCTCCCCTTCTATAAGCTTGATCCTTTGAAGTAGGAACCATAGTATGTAACCAGTGACTATGCGGGCTGGCAATTTTTATGTTCTCACCAACATGGAATTAAATGCACTGATACAACTACTCACTTCCCAAAAGCAAAACACTCCAAAGCCACCACTTGCCCAGCCAAAGCGTAAGTATCAGAAGGAAACTTGGCCTTAATGATTGGGGCATATGGTCTGGGATCTGAGGAAAGAAAGAGAGGTGACTGCAAAGGTGTTAGTCACAAAAAAAAAAAAAAAAAGGCCACTATAAAGCAGAGACTGATTACAGTTATTCATCTTCTTAAAAATGCACACTTGAAACCCAAGGAAGTAATTGCAGACTTTACTTGAATGGCTGTTGCAGCAGATTTGTAATGTTACTGGAGCTACCATGTGGTCCTATCCCCCCACTGCTCTGGTTTGAAAAAATTGAAAAGTTTTCAACCAAAAAGTCTTGGTTCAGCTGTACTGTGAAGTTGTTCAGAATATAGCAAACTGCCTTTAACAGAGCCAGACCACTGGCATTCTAATTCAGCATTATCTACACTGTCTAAGCACCCACTCTCCAAAATTTCTGAAGCGAGCCTTTTCCAGCCTCATTGGAAGGTGCCAAGGACTGAACTAGGCTTTTGGTGAGCTACAACCCTTCCTCAACCTCAGCTCCACTTCCATTTTTACTAAAGAGGTAATAAGACAAACTAGAAATCATACATACTTTATTCCTTAGTCTGCTGTACAATATTCACATATAAAGTGTGATGTGGAGGAAATTATGGAATCAGATGTATTGGTAAGGGAAGTGAAGCCATTCACTCCCCTCCTACCCTTATTATGGCCTATTGCTTAAGCAATTCTATCCTCAGACTCTGCACTAATAAGGTCATAATTGGAGTACTTTATACGATTCTGGGCACCACATCTCCAGAAGGATACTGGCAGATTAGAACAGGTTCAGAGGAGTGCAACAAAGAAAACACAAGGATTTGAGGACATCCCCTATAAAGACAGGATGAAAGAATTTGGGTTGTTGAATCTGGAGGAAGAACACTGAGGAAAGACATGGTATCAGTGTTCAGATACATAAAAAGGTGCCTTAGGGAACATGATGAGGAACAGTTTTCCATTGCCACAGAAACTAGGATCAGAAATAATGGGTATACATTTTGTTTAAAATAAGGAAAAACATCCTGATGGTAAGATCTGTACAATAGTGGAATAGTCTACCTATGAGGGTTGTGTGTTCTTGTTGTCTAGAACAGTGTTTCTCAACCTTGGCAACTTGAAGATATGTGGATTTCAACTCCCAGAATTCTGGGAGCTGAAGTCCACTCATCTTCAAGTTGCCAAGGCTGAGAAACACCCCTCTAGATGCTTTTAAGAAGCTGGAGAGCCACCTCTCTTGGCTGGACTGGAAGATGATTATGATCGCTTCCAACTCCACAATTCTATGATTCTTTCACATATAAGTATTGAATCAAACCATCAAATACAGCAATAGTAAGTAGGGAAGGAGCAAAGTTTGTCCCCTCACCCATGGGCTCCATTTAATGATCCCTTCCTGCCAGTCATGGAAATAAATCTTCCCAGCCTCAATGTGAATGGTGCAAAGAGACAAAAACAAACAACACCCCCTCCCCCAAGCATTTGAGTCTAGTACAGAAAGAAATCAAGCATATTAAACTCCTGTGGGCCAGTGTACATGACTAGCAAACTATATTTGATTAAGTGGGTCATAACTTCTACAATAAAGACTGCTTTAGAGACACATTCAATTAGAACCCTCCTTGCCAGCCCCTGAAAAGGATTTGCTTAGTGGATGCCCATTTTAGACAGACAGATAAGAGTCTTTAAGCACTGACCTTCTTTCACAAGAACGAGTTGAGAAAACATGCTAAAAACATTCTTTTTAATGGAGCCAATATGGCCGGTAGCAAAACAGGAATAGCTGCCAAGATCAGAGGCCTCAGTCTTAGCAATGTAAAGGTTTCCAGTTGTCTGAGAGACGAAGCGCCTGCTGTCTGCTGGAACAAAGTTTGGGAATTCATTCACAAACCAGCGATATTCAAGTCCTGCGTATACAGAGAGAGAGAGGGAAAGGTGGGCAGGGAGGAAATATTGACTTTTGTATATCATAGCGGCAGTAGAAGGTTGACCTCAGCTGGTTATTTTCTAGACAGAGTCATTACTAAATCCAGTTATTAATTCATTCTACACTGTATATACATCAATGGCTGATATATATCAGTGATATATTTCGGTGTCTTATGAAGAATGAAATGAGCATTATCTGTCCTTTTAGAGAGGATGTACAATTGCCTCACAATATTCTTTAAAAAGAGCTGAATCCAGTATTTTAAGATTAGACCAAGATTTATATTTGAAATCCCTTTATTTTCTGATGGAAACATTTACTGCTACTGTATCTGTTTTCATAAAATGCAGTCTCCTACTATTCAAAATCTGTAGGACAAACAGAGAAATATTCACGTATTGATTTGTGTGACTAAACAACATTAATAAATGCAATTTCTACATATACCAAAATACTCAGTTTTGACATGGAACTTGCAGTAGCAATTATTAACATCCATTTCCTGATTTCAAGGAAGAATTTCAGAGGTCAGTGAAGAACTAGAAATCATAGGTTTGTAATAATTTGAAAAATTCATACTTTTCAGAGCCTTTCTTATAGTAATTGCATTTAACAGAAGACATAGCAATTTCTATTAACGTTTGGTACACACTGCTCTACGCTGTTAATTAGGTCCACATTATTCTGACACAAGAATTCTAAAGAATAATAATTAAATGCTGATGTATCTAAATATAATTACAAAGTAGATTAAACAATTAATTAGACTAAACAATTATTTATTCGTTGGACTTTACTATCACCCAATAAGAAGCAGTAATAATGGTAATAAACACAACATCAAAGTAATAACAGCAATCAAATGATACAGTTCTAACAGACCAAATGTTGTGGTTTAACATCAGTTTCTGATCTATCATTCCTCAAATATAGATGCTTTGCACTCTTAAAATGAAAGCCTCACTTCTAATGCATTGCAGTTTCCTTACCTGGATAGTGTGGTGGTGGGCTGCAGGTAAACATCACCCCCAAGCCCTCTGTACCCCTCACTGGATCTCGTTCTTCCGTAGAGAATTCCTGCAGAACTAAAACACACAAACAGCCAAGTGTTTTAGATGTGAGCTAGGAGGATTAGCACTTTTTACAAATTAGATCTTGGGGGAGAAATATTGCTAGCTACAGGCAATCATGTTCCCATCCTATCAAAAGAAAATTGTGAAAGTAACAGCAGGTCGCTTCAGGAGCAATCCTTAAGAGCAGTGTTTCTCAACCTTGGCATCTTTAAGATGCGTGGACTTCAATTCCCAGAATTCCCCAGCCAGGATGGCTGGCTGGGGAATTCCGGGAGTTGAAGTCCACGCATCTTAAAGTTGCCAAGGTTGAGAAACACTACCATAGAGAGTCTGCTGTTAATGAATTAGAGAAGTCAATATTATTTTTCTATCCTTTTTTTTTCCTATTAGTAATTCCAATTCTAAGTAGCCCTTCCAAATGGATCACATTTGTTTGCTTGTAATCGATACACATATAATCCCAATGTCTAGCAATAAAATATAAAAGCTGCAGCAAGCTTTCCATACAGAGAAAAGTAAAACAAGTAAGCTGGACTTGGAAATTCTCTGGGATACGATAAATATTTTTGCAACCTTTCTCAAGCTTTTAGTAAATCAGTTCGATCAGAAATACTATAGTTTTGGATTGGAAATACTACACAGCAAATACAACTGTTAAATGGGGCCTATTCTCATGTTAGAAGACTGAGGCATATTTAGCATTTATGCACAGTATCATCTCTCTCATGACTTTATGAAAGAAGGAAATCAATATGGAAGAAGACAATTGTTAACCCTAACTTTTATCTTACCCCATTTACAGCAGAAGGCAGTTACTGCCATCATGTGGTCTCCTAGCCCCTCATCTTTTTTACAGCCTACTATTCAGAATGATATACCCCAAAAGAAGGTGATTTGCTGACATCTACACATTCATTAAAATAGCTCCTGTTTCAAGCATCTTGGCTAAAAACTTAAAATCCTGGTTTGTAAGAGAAATGGTAAAGTAAATTTGCAAAGAATTCTGTCTGGTTATAAGATAAACCCTGATCATCCTTGTAGGACACTGAATCATGTACAAGGTGCACAGTGCTCGAGCTACATATCAGTGCCTCACTTCTACTCTGACCGTACTGATTTTCAACCAGGTTGCTTGTGTTGGCCTGGAATGCTGTCACAGCAGCACGGGTGGCAGAGTTCTTGACACTGCTGTCCTTTCTGTGCAGAAAATGTGTTCAGAATGAAACAGATGACTTACAGCTGAAGCTGATATAAGCTTCTCTGCTGATTACTGTGCCCATGGAGTTGGATGCTATGCACTGGTAGGATCCAGCATCTTTAGCTTTCACCGGATTTCTTATTACCAGGTTGCCACCATTCAACCTGTATCGGGAATCTGGCTCTATTTTGATCTCTGTGCCATTCATCTTCCACCTGCCAGAAACAATGATATTTGGATGGGGTGAGAACACAGCAGAAGAATCACAGCTGCAAATTAGCACTGCTTTGAATGGTCAATAGAACCTATTGTAAGATAGGAGCTGTATGGGAAATACTGTCTCTCTGTAGCTATAAAACCCAGTCAACAATAAGACAAGTTATGATTGCACTTTAATATTAGGAGAGACCTCCAACTCAGAGCTTAGACTTAAATATTGTTTAAGCATAACAGGAAGCATATTTTGCCCCAAGATTAGCACTAAGATCCATGACTGTTTCTAAATAGTGTAGCTAGAATATCTGAAAATTCACCTTGGTTCCTAAATTTTTGTGCTTCCTAGATTTTTCTGCTTTCTATTGTTATTTTTTGTTGTTGGTTCTTTTCTTGTTGGTTTTAATCCTATGTAAGCTGCCCACAGAGTTGCAATTGATGAGCTGGGCAGCCATAGAAATTCAGCAAATAAATGTATAAATATGGGAGTGGTTGTTTGAATTTCTACTAAGATATGATAGCACAAAAGATTAGACAACCAACATTTCATATAGCTTGTTTGCAGAACTTGAAAAATCAACCATATTGATGGTTAATATAACTTAAATATTATATCATTATATGACTCATATTTAAGCCATTATAAATATTATAAATATGGTTTTATTGACTTAAAATGTTTTATTATATATATTATGTATAATGTGATGTAATGTATTATAATATTGTGTGACTTGTCTGTAAAGAATTTAAAAAATAAAATCAATCATATTCGCTCAGAGGTTGATACTTCTTTTGCAGAGTATGATAAGATAATTGGGCTCCTCTGTGCTGATCTGGGATATATTTGATTCTATGGATATCAAAGAAATGGAGAAGATCATCTGCAGTGTGAACTCTCCCATTTGTGGCTGGAGCCCTGCCCTTCCTTGCCTACTTGAGCTGGGAGGTGGATGAGGGAGGTGGTCAGTGACTTGAAGGGAGGGGATAATGCCAACCATCTTGAAGGAGGTGGTGGCATGTCCCCACATGAAGAGTCTGTTCCTAGATCTGGCATTATTAGGCAACTTCTGCCCCAACTCCACACTATCCAGGTGAGGAAACAGCAATACAGTATATAATAAACATACACATAGTCCTCACTTAACAACCACAACTTGGACTGACAACTCCATTGCTAAGCAATGAGGTCGTTAAGTGAGACATTACATGACTGCAACAGACTTATGACATCACTTTTCCCTCTGGTCGTTAAGCAAAATATCACATGACTATGACTTGTGAGTGTCAAGCTGTTCACTGCTGGCTTCTCCATTTACTCTACTTATTGGAAGCCAGTGGTGAAGAGTGCAAATAGTGATTATGTGACTGCGGGGACGCTGCAACGGTTGTAAACACCTATCAGTTGTGAAGCGCCCAAATGTTGATCACATGACTATGGGGACACTGCAATGATCATAAATGCAAGGACCAGCTGTAAAGTTACTTTTTCAGCACCATTATAACTTTGAATGGTTGCTAACAGGACAGTCATTAAGCAAGAACTACCTGGACTTCTGGGGAAGGTACGGCGAACTGAAGATGGCTTTGCGAAAGCAGAGCTGACAACTGTGGCAAAGACCAAGAAACCAGTGAGTAGACTGGTTCCTTGGAACCTCTTTGGATAAGGAGAGGATGGGAGATTGCCCACATGTGTTTCAAATGGCTGCTCCTTGCAAGAAGACCTCAGGACAGTGGTTGTCTGTGTGTTTAAGTGCCAGGAGATGGTTGGATCCACCATCTTGCTTGAAACTACAGCAGAGCCTTTTAAAGGACACTAAGTTCGCAAACCTCACTTTCCAATCACTTTCAGAAATTGCCTATTAACTATCTTAAAGCTATTAGAGACCTTTGGAATAACAAGTTTGAAAAATCTTCATCAGGTAAATTTATCTTCAACTCTGAACAAAGGAAAAATTAATTACAAGCTTAAGAACTTAAAGAATTTGAAATAAACAGCAAAAAGCTAAATAAGATTTTGATCTAGAAAGTTATAAATGGATTAAA